TAACTTGATTCCAATACATTGAATTTTGCAACATGACAGAATTTCAGGTATTGTATGGCAGAGAGACACCAAATTACATATCTATTTAGAAAAAACCTGCTTTACTTATTTTTAGAAAAGCTGGATGAAAGTGCATAGAAATAAAAATGTATTTACTGATATACCCATGGCAACACAGGACACCTTACTGGTATTGATCATCCATTAAAACATTACGGGGGAAAAAAAGGAAGATGTTCTTTAAAGTTGGAATTGTATATGGGTATTCATCCACATAGCAATGCTACTGATATAAAACACCATAATAGGATTATCCCAGAAAATTTCATAGTAAAACTCGTTCAATTATCCAAAAACAATTAGTGACTGCAAACTTTATGAGATTCAAATAATGCACATATATTATAGAGGGCAAGAGTTATCATCTGGCATTTAAGGTAACACTAAGAGACTTAAATGCAGCTCAACACATGCTGAGTGTTTTTATTGCGCTGTTTGGGTACTAAGGGAGGAACATTAAGGGATTTAATCCCCATAGTCATTATGAAGATATGTATCTTTTACACAAAAGTATCTAATTAAAAGGAAAAAATAAAAAAGGACCTTTGGATAACACACCCACTTTTATACAAATTCTAATGACTTTAGGTTCTTTGGCAGAGTAATTGTCTCTCCCAGCTTCTAATCCAGATGGTTATTTGCTTTAAAGTGCTGGTCTTGAATTATGCAGTTTTCTGTCACACGTGTTTCCCTTCAGGCATCAGTAATAAGAGATAAATTCTCTTATTTATCCTTCCATACAAATACAATCCCTACACTGGAAAAGAAAAATCTCAAACATCTATCTGCATCAATAGACTACTAATCATTTTTGTGGTTCTCCTCTGGACCTGCTCCAGCAGGTCCATGTCCTCCTTATGTTGTGTGTCCTAGAGTTGGACACAATATTCCGGGAGGGATCTCATTAGAGCAGAGCAGAGGGGGAGAGTCACCCCTCTCAATCCAGTAGTCACATTACCTTTGATGCAGCCCAGAATACATTTGGCTTTCTGGGCTGGAAGTGCATATAGCTGGGTGATGTCCAGCTTCTCATCCATTGGTATTCCCAGTACCTTCTCCTTCTTTCAGTCCATTCATCCCCCAGTGTATATTGACACTGGGCATTGCCTCAAGCCAGGTGCAGAACAATTTTAAACTTCATGATGTTTGTACATGCCAATTCCTCATGCCTGTCAGGGTCTTCTGGATGGCATCCCTTCCCCTGGATCAAATGAACCACTCACCTTGATGTCACCCATGAGCTTCCTGAAGGTGCACTCAATCCCACTATCTATGTCATTAATATATTAAATACTATAGGCCCCACTCAGCACTCATTGCAGTCATACAATTCCTTGCCATCTAATAGTCCATCCATCAAATCCACATCTATTTAGAGGGAAAAGCATTGGAAGGGACAGTATTCAAGGCTTTAGAGAAGTGACATCACTTATCTTTCCTTTGTCTCCTGATGCAGTCACTCCATCATAGGCAGCCACTGGATTAGTTGGGCATGATTTGCTCTTGGCAAAGCCATGTCGGCTGTCTCTAATCACCTTCATACAATCACCCCTCCTATGCTTTGACATGACTTCCAGCAGGATCTGCTCCTTGATCTTGTTGGGCACAAAGGTGAGGCTGACTGGCCAGCAGTTCCCAGGGGCTGGCTGTGATGATCCCTACCCTTCAGTGCCTGAGATAGTTACAGGTAGTCAGTGTCACTCCAGTCACTGAATGGCAGTCATGGTGTGGTGATCCCTTCCCTTCAGTGCCTGAGATAGTTACAGGTAGTCACTCCAGTCACTGAATGGCAGTCACAGTCTGATTATCAAGGCTTTTCAAATATGATGGAGACACGGCTCTGCTATTACAACTGCTAATTCCCTCAGAACCCCAGGATGTTTCTTAGACTAAAAGTAACATCAGATGTATTCCAAATCATCCTTGTATTTCAAATTGTTATGTACCTACTTGATGTTCTTTTCTTTTCCATTCTCTTGCTGCTGGTGGCAAACAGACTTTAATGGGATTTTGATAAGAAAATTTCAACAGAAGCAAAAAACCAACACTACTCCACAAGTTATTTCATAGTTTTAATATTTATGTTATTTTCATAACAATTTTGCTGGAGGAGAAAAAATGTAGGATCAGAGGATGGAAAGATCATAAGGTATAATGGTTCTATGACAGCAAGACAGCCTGCAGTTAACATTCTCCTCTTGCATGTAAGTGCATGAATACCCACGTGGTGGAATAACACCATGCTGGCAAAGCAGATCTCACACTCCCCTCTAGTGACAGAGTACGACCTCCTGAGGCCTCTCAGCAGCCTGGACAGCTCTGCTGCTACCACAGCTGCTCCCAATAGGATCCCACATAACTACAGCTGGGGCTCTTAGTTTTATTTTAAAGTAGGATTAACACTAAGTTAATATACCTAATTTTAGACATGGAAGAATTTTTGGTGGGCTACTATACTGACGGTATATTTGCCCCTTGTGCTCATGATTGTTTTACATCAATTTTCATTATGCAACCATATGTGATTAGTGTAATTAATGTGTGCATTGCAGCATCATGCACCGAGGTCATCATGTCTGTCCAAGTGTCCTTGAATGCTACACATCCTTTTATTAATTCTTTTCCTGCAGTGGCCATGCAATCAGCACAAGACTGGAATTACCATCTTAAAGTGTTTTTCTCTAGATACAATTCTTGTTTGGACATATACTACCTTAACACAGTGCCTGAGGAAAAAAAAAACCAACTCCATAGCTGCTGAAACAGCAGCCTGCTGACACATGATGCTTGGAACATATTTTCTGAGACACCATTTATCATTGTCATCACAGTGCACAACTTATTGCAGTAAATTGCTCTTGCATATCACAACCTTAAAAAGACAATGCAACTCATAATTGTGTTATTAGGAGATTACAATAATCTTAAAATAATTTAAAAAATAAAATCTATACATACTAATGAGGGAACATAATCATCATAAAAACTATTACCTGCCAGCTTTATAACTACAGCCACTATAGCTAATTACATGTCTGCAGTAAAGGAATACTTCCTCAAAACACTCTCAGGTGAGGAGAAACAGCAAGAAACAGGTTAACTCTGTAAGCCCTACAACCTGAGAAACATTCATCTATCTATCTAATTGTAGAAAGAGGGATGCCAGCCTCCTTCTCTCCAAAATCACAGCTCTTCCTTTGCTTTATGCCTATCACCTGGCAATTTATAGTCCAGAAATTCTGTGGGCAGGTAGAGATTACAGTTTAGTGTTAGCATACCAAAATTAGTAAAATATATTGACCTGCTCTAAAGAAAGCAAAAGGAAAAGGATTCAGTAGGACTGGGAATTGTCATTCAGCTCAGTTTCTAAAAAAAGTAACATGTTTCTGACCACTGGGTTTTAAGCAGCTTCCAGAACAGATCCAAACCCAAAAACACAAGGTACAAGAAATACCCAAAACACGCAGCACACAATTAAAGCAGCAAAGAAAGTAGTTTCTCCCATTCTGGAGATAAAAAGATGCAGAATAAATTAAGATCACACAAAGTTTCATAGTAGCCCAGAGGAACAGAATCTAAATGTAGTCTCCCTGATGAGACACATCATTCACAGCTGAAAAAAACCTGGCAGAAAGAAGATAGCTGGGAAAAAAGTTGAGAAAGGCTGGAAGACTTTAATAATGGTGAAGAGGTCAATTTAACTAGTTAACTTACTGTTCCTGCAGTGGGGTAGAGTGCAGAACATTTAAGTCTCATCATTACTAACTTTTTAAAATGCTACATTTTACTTTATGATCTAAATCATAGGGACTAAAACAAAAAGGATGGGAGGGTGAGCTGTGTAGAAGGGAAAAAAAACAAAACAAACCAAACCAAACCTCCACCAATAAGCAAACCAAAAACAAATAATGGCAAAAATGCTGTAGCTTTTGCTATGTCCAAGTTAAAGGCAATGTGTCCTGTGCCACCATTTATATTTTTGAAAAGGGTTCATATTATGAAGTCAAAATGGCAAATTATCAGCCTAAATAACCTCAATGTAAGGACTGTTAGAAGATTTTCATGGAAACTGCCTTATATACTTGTGATAATCCTATTTTTTTCACCACTTCCAAAGTTATAATTTTAAATGTGCATTTCATGGTTAAACACAATTTATTTGGAACTGTCCTATAAGTGACAATTCTTATATGTTGGCCTAATTAATGACCTGATTCTGTAGATGTAAAAGTTTAATGTCAGAAGGACCAGTAAAAGGCAGACTGGATTTAAAACAGAAAGGAAGGGTAATTGCAGTATGAGTTACTTCTTCAGGAACACTCGCCTATCAAATGACAGCTTTGACATCACAGCCATTCTTTTTGCTAATTGCCGTCACCCTGTTTTTACTAGCAAAGCTATGGCAGCGGTGCTTTTCCGGAGAGGTTGTTTCCCTCCCCTAGCTTTCCATAAGCATTAACAGCACTACGAACAGCAATGTTACAGCATTGTGGTTTTCTTAATTTTGTTTAAGGTTGGTGTAGTCTGTTAGAGCATTAATGGTCTGTATGCTACAGAAGCGAGTGCCAATTTAGAAATCTAGAAAGTCTGACCAAAATAAGAAACAACCAAGAGGCCAAACTATCTAAGGTAGCTTAATACAAAATCAGTTCAAGGTTTTAAACACAGCTGCCCTTCATGAATTTGTAAGTCACAAAATCGAGGTAACATGGGCCAGATCTCCCGCTAGCCGGGCATTCCACCTATGTCTGCGGCTCCGCAGGCATGCCCCACGCTGGGAGCTCAGCCCCGCAGCCCCTAAGCCGCTGTGCCCACCGGCCGGCCCCGGAGGGTTTAACTTTCCCGTCTCGCCTGCGGCAGGCGGCCCGCTCCAGCCCCGCCGGGCCGGGGCAGGCGGGGGCGCTGCGGCTTTAAGAGCGACCCGCGCTCGGGGCCCGCGCCGCGGCCCCGCCCCGCGCAGCGCGGCCGCGCATGGGCGGCTGCGGCTCCGCGCTCTTGGCGCGGCGGATGAATCCGGGGCTCGGCAGGCCGCGCCCGGAGCGCGGGGCTCTCACGGGCCGCTCCGCCCATGGCCTCCCCACTGGTAAGGGCCCGGCCCCGGCCGCTGGCGACGGCCGCGGCAGCCAGGACGGCGGGCAGGCAGGCGAGCCGCGGCCGGAGGGTATCGCCCGGCCCCGAGGGCTGCCCGGGGCCGCCCCCGCTGGGGGATCGCTCCGGACGCCGCGCGCGGGGCGTTAGCGTCCCCCAAGGGGCGGGGGAGGGCGAGCGCGGCCGCCCCCGCCCGCAGCCTGACGGTGCGCACCCTCTCCCCAGGAGGACCCCGTCCTGATCCGGCCTTTCCGCGGCCACACGGCGGCGGTGACGGGCGTCGCCTTCGATGCGAACGCGGCGGAGATGGGTGAGTGCGGGGCCGGGCGCCGTTGGCTTTCCGGGCGGGGCAGCCCGCTCCCTCCTCCCTCTTTCCCTCCCCGGAGCCGCCCGGCGGTTCCGGCCGCAGGTCCGGGCGCGGAGGCGGGGCGGGCTCCCGCGCCCTCGGGCGGGCTAAGGAGTCTCTTCCCCTTCCTTAAGCGACAACTTTTTGAGCAAACCACAAGGCTGGAGGAGGGGTTTGTCCCGCGGAGAGAGAGGAGGAGGAGGAGGAAGTAAGTGAGGGGAGCGCCGCGGCCGGAGGGGCAGGGGCTGCTCCGTGCCTCCGCTGCCGCCCCCCTCCCCCGCGGTCCCCCTGGATCTACCGGGCCCACCGCGGAGGGCTGGCTGCAAACTCTGCCGGCGTCCCGAGCCCGAGTGCCTGCAGCCCCATCCTCCCTGGGGGCGTGGGAGAGCCGGCAGGAGTTCACGGACTCCTCTCTGCCAGCGAGCTCCTTTTAACTATCTAAGATGAGGATTCGCCTGGCGAGAAGATGGACGTGGATCCGCAAAAGCTGCATGTTTCTCGGCTTCTTAATGATCGCTTACTTTGTGGTCGAGCTGTCGGTTTCTTCCTTCGGTGTCTCCCTCGCCGGCAAGAGCATCACTAAAGGGAAATGGGAGAGGCGCTTTTCTGACGGGGCAGAAAAAGCTGTCGATTTGGCTCGTCCAGTTTATGACAAGCCTCCACCTGATCCTTATGCTCTAGGAGAATGGGGTAAACCTTCTCGTCCCCAGCTGAGTCCTGAGGAACAGAAACAGGAGGAAGAGCTGATTGAGAAGTATGCAATAAATATTTATTTAAGTGATAAAATTTCTCTCCACCGGCACATTGAAGATAATCGACTGAGTGGTTGTAAAACTAAATCTTACAACTACAGAAGACTGCCCACAACATCTGTTATAATTGCTTTCTACAATGAAGCCTGGTCAACACTGCTGCGGACGATACATAGTGTTCTTGAAACATCACCTTCAGTGCTTCTGAAAGAAATTATACTGGTGGATGACCTGAGTGATAAAGTGTATTTGAAGGCTGAACTCGAAAAATACATAAGCAGTCTGAAAAGAGTTCGCTTGATAAGAACCAACAAGCGAGAAGGATTGGTTCGTGCACGCTTGATTGGCGCTACCTTTGCTACCGGTGATGTTCTCACATTCCTAGATTGTCACTGTGAATGTGTTTCTGGCTGGCTGGAACCACTGCTCGAGAGGATTGCTGAGAATGAGACTGTTATTGTGTGTCCTGTCATTGACACCATTGACTGGAAGACATTTGAATACTACATGCAGACGGCGGAGCCCATGATTGGGGGGTTTGACTGGCGGCTGACGTTCCAGTGGCACTCGGTGCCTAAACACGAACGTCTCAGGCGCAAGTCGGATACCGACCCAATCAGATCCCCAACTATGGCTGGTGGCTTGTTTGCTGTCAGCAAGAAGTATTTTGAGTACCTGGGAACCTATGATACAGGAATGGATGTTTGGGGAGGGGAGAACTTAGAATTATCATTTAGGGTTTGGCAGTGTGGAGGCATGTTGGAAATTCATCCGTGCTCCCACGTGGGCCATGTGTTTCCAAAGCGTGCGCCCTATGCTAGACCAAATTTCCTTCAGAACACAGCACGTGCTGCTGAGGTGTGGATGGATGAGTTCAAAGATCACTTTTACAACAGAAATCCTTCAGCAAGGAAAGAAAACTATGGAGACATTTCTGAAAGAAAGATTCTTAGGGAGCGTTTGAAATGCAAGAGTTTTCACTGGTATTTAAAAAATGTATTTGCTGAGTTGCACGTACCAGAGGATCGCCCTGGCTGGCACGGTGCTATCCGCAGCAGAGGAATACCTTCAGAGTGCCTTGACTATGTCTTACAGGAACATAATCCTACCGGGTCTCACCTTTCTCTCTTTGGCTGTCATGGTCAGGGAGGCAACCAATTTTTTGAATATACATCAAATCAGGAGATTAGATTTAACTCTGTAACTGAGCTATGCGCTGAAGTCCCTGAGCGCGAAGACTTCATAGGTATGAGGAGCTGCCCAAAAGATGGATCTCCTGTCCCAGAAATTATTATCTGGCATTTCAAGGAAGATGGGACTATTTATCATCCTCATTCAGGGAAATGCCTTACTGCTTATCGTACGGCTGAGGGGCATGCTGATGTGCAAATGAGAACTTGTAATGCTGGAGATAAAAATCAGATTTGGCAATTTGAGAAATAATCACTGCTGGTAGTATGAGTTGGATGGACTGTGATCTCCCAGCTTTTTCACATGTGAGCAGATAGCAATGTTTGATCAAATACCTTGACACGTTTTCACATCTGTCTGTAGTAGTGTAGAAACTGTCTACTATGATGAACTGTATGGAAAGCAAAAGTAAATAGTGGGGTTTGGTTTCTAAAACATGGATTAGAACAGCAAATGCCTTTTATTTTTGTAAAATTTTGATCTGTTATAACTTTCCTCAGTTTTGATTATAAAACAAAGGCTTCTGAGCGGACTGAAGAGGGATTTTTTAAATCTTAAAACTATGCAGTAATCCTGCGAGATAATGTTCCATGTAAACAAAAAATTTTTACTTACAGAGGTAAAAGTTAAGGTTCTTGCAGTGGTATTAGCTATGTTGCAGATACATTATAAAATATGTATCTAACACACTCTAAGTAATGCTACAGTAGCATGTGATTGAATAGACATTGATGTGGAAAGTTGAATCTAAGCTTTGTAATGATCTGCATTTTTCTGGGAATGTACACGCTGTTAAGGGTACTATATTGTACAGAAGAATAGGAAGTTTATTCGCTAGAAGGGTTTGGTTTTACAATAGGTACAAGTACCTATTGTAAAAATCTTACCCCATGGGGCTTCGTCAGGAGCTCTCACACATTTAGAGGAGAGGGTGGTAGCAGTGCAATCAAGGACATGTTGGTGATATCACAAATGGAAGAAATAGGGATGGCTACAAGTAAGAATTTTGTTTAAAGGCAATAGAGAAGGAAAGGAATCACAAAATTGCCTTAGCTACTGTTGTTTCTTAGGTGTATATTTAATGTATACATTACTTCAGTGTAAGCTTTTCCGTGTTCAGCTCCACGTCTTATGGACACAAAAGTTATGTGATCTAGACCATGTTTGGGTTTTTTGTTGTTTTTGGTTTTCTTTTTCATTTGGTCTGTCAGCAGGGTAGAGAAAGGTAACATAGAGGAACATTTGGGCTATTTTGCTTTTTGTGTTTTAGCAACAGCTGGCATGGGTCAGCCCTAGGAAGAGTTTTGAAATAATACAGCATAAGCTGCCTGTTTCCAGTCGAAACAATACCACTGAAGACCTTGGGTAAGACTGGGAAGCTGAAGTTTCTGGCATGAGAGGAGTTGAAAAGACCAAGGACAGCTTGGAGGAAACTAAGATTTATTGGTGGTTCAAAGAATTATTTTTTAGAATGTTTTCTTTTTTCTGTTATCCTGAGTTTTTGAAGAATACTGATTCTTGAATTAGTGATCTTGATTGGTATCACTAATATGTTTTGATTGTGATTATAGATGGTAGATGTGATAGATATATTGTGTACTAGAAAAAAAATTGCATTAGTATCTGTATTTTAGTTTCATAAGATTTAAGTTGAACACTTTTCTTAATGTGTTGGGCATTCCAGCTGTTTTTATTACTCTCACTGAAGTGGTAAATGTTCTTCAGTAGCCATAGTGTAGTAAGTCTTTACATGGGGCTGGTAGGTAGAAACTTAAGCTAGTGAGCATTAGTTATCTGGACGTTTGAGGACCTTAGTGGGTATGCATTTCCTACAGGTTTTAGTAGGTAGAAGGGTTACAAAGGGACAAGTGAGACCTGATGTAGTTGAAGTTTTGCCAAAAATAGAGTAAGAGTAAGTTACAACATATTCTTAAATATTATTGTCTTGAAAGCTTTGAGAGGTTTGGGTGGAAACAGGTTGCCATAGAAGATGAACAGAAGAAAATTTGGAGCTTGGAATGAAGCATTGAATGATGCTAAAAATGCTTGCCACTGTGTGGCATGGATTCTTTTCAGACTTTAATTTATTTTTAGGCAGTTACTTGCAATTTGGTTTTTTTCCCTTTTTTATCTTCCTTTTTTCCCTAAGTTGTTTTTTTGCTGTTGTTGGTTTGTTTGTTTGTTTAAAAAAAAAGGGAACTTTGTACTACATAAGGGAAGCATTCCTGAAAAATTGCATTCCACTTTGCAGCAGGAATTCTTTTGTGTACCTGCAAGTTATGAACAATTTATCAAATTTTAAAAGGCAGCCAGTTGTTATGTACTGGGGCAATAAATTATATAAAGTATGTGCTTTTGTGAAAAGCTTTCTGTAAGCTGTTAACATTCAATAGAAATGACAGGAAGAAGGCCTAGGTTCTCTTATGTGGCAGATCATAAATAGCATGTGCAATCCATGTTTCTTCAGATGAAAGTAATTAAGTGATGTGAATACAGACTATGCAAATTTTATACAGTTAATTTTTTAGCACTTGGCAAAAACTGCTTTTTGTATAAAGAAATACCTTCAAGTTAAACCTGGCATTCAAAGTGTTCCTTATCTATTTAAGCAATAATTGTAAGTGAATCTGCCTCTGTGTTTGAAAAGTTATTCTTTCTATGTATCTGAACCTTTCCTCCTCCCTATGACCTCCCTTTCTGTTTTTGGAGTTATTTAGAAACAAACTGGGGAGAACAAAAAAACCAAAATTACTTGCCCCTAAAAAAAAAGAAGAAAAAAAAATTCAAAACCTTCCCAATGAGAATAAAAAACATGTGAATAAAAGGAGGAGGGACTAGAGAAAGAGAGAGAAAGAAAGTAGAGAAAAATAAACAACAACTTACCATTTCAATATTCTTATGCAATTATTTTTCAGTATGTACAGATTTCTGGAAATCTGAAAATCTGAATAGTTTTCTATTCTTGTTAGAATTTGAAGACTTGGTGAATGCTTGTATATATTTTAAACTACTGATTCTAAGTCACTTAAAAGAAATTGAATGTAACCTTAACACTGAATAAATGTGGAGGGCTTTGGGATTTCATTTGAAAAAATAAAATCCAGAAAATTAAACGTTGCCTAGTGTGCTGACTTGTCTCAGTTCTTTTCCTCTTGTGTACACGCATACAGAATGCAACAAAGCTGAATAATAAACTGCCAATAAGCTGAATTGATAGAAGTTATTAAAAGTTCTTCGTATTTTATCCACTGTGCTTAGAATTCCAGATTGGATTTTTTGACAGATGTTCAATTAATAATAGTTTTTCTCCAAGTAGGAAACCTTGCAATTCATTACAAAATGTGTTTACATTGTGACATTGTACTGTATCATTGAGAGCTGCAGGGTTCCTTTAAATTTGGGGGTTTGTTGGCAGTGGTAGGGTTTGAATATTCACACACCCATCACGTGCACTGTATTTCATCTGCCCTGTAATTCTTGCACTGAGTGATTAATTATATTGGAGATGCTTCAGTATTTTGAGAGATGTACATCGAGCTGTTAAAGCCTGTTTGAGGTTGTCTCTTTTGATCTTTGCACAACTTTCTTAGTCACCGCTTTGTTATTGTGGGAAATGAGAGTGAAATGGGAATTCTGTATTACAGCAACTTGTGTTCATATATTTGCATGTGTATATATAAAAATGTATACCATCAATAGTCACAATTCATAAATTGAACTTTGTTTCATTGCAAATACCACAAGATCTTTTTCATGGCATATGTGAAGCTTAGGTATCTGCTTGCACACCACTTTGCTGTAGATCTCTCAACTTGGCATTTGCATAAGGCCAATTCTTTATTTTTTGGTGTTCAGTTCTGTAATGACTCATCGGCAGAAAAGCAAATTATCCAGTGATGTGTCTGCTATATGTGGGTGTGTACAGAAGCGTTGATTTTAAAACAGAAAAGGCACTCAGGTTATAAACTGGAGTAAGTTGTATATTAGAGTCAGCTCTGTGTGAATTTTCAGCTTTCTACATTTTAGTTATATTTTTCAGTTGATCATAGTAAGGGCAAATTGTCTTTCACCTCTAATCACGGTTCTGGTTATGTTACGTATTCTCTGAGGAGCAATAGGCCTATTTGTGCTACAGCACATCCTGAAAAAATGCTTCTGGACAGTCTGTGATTTTTTTTTTTAATTTTTTTTTTTTTTCTGATCCAATATTTAAGTATTGCATAGGTGGCAGGGAGAGCAGAGGGAAAATAAGGAAGATGGCCACAGATGTCCCACAGAAGGAGAACTTCAGGTCACTGCTTCTGTCTCATTTACCTTGGGACAGCCCATCTATGAGACAGCAAACTACATGAAACCAGGCTCTGAATGAATGGTATTGTCATCTTTCTAAGAATATTTCCCTCAATTTTTAGAACTGAAAGCTGATACTGCACGGGTATTTGGTAGTTCATCAGCAATTTGTTTTAGAAGCCATCAGTCTTGTCTGTTTCACATTTCCAGCCCTATGCCTTCAAATTCTATTTTAGCTTATATTTCACTTTTTCCTTTTCGTTTTACTCCACTGTAGATCACTTTTCAGAATCAAAGGGGAAAAGGAATTCTTTCAAGTACAATTAGAAAGACCCTGCTGTAAAACAGGGTTTTGAAAAGTTGAAGTGGGGGGAAAATATCCTGTATTTCTTTTTCAAATATAGGCCTGTTGATATAGGCATAGGGATAGTCTGGTCTCACATCTTTTAGCAGAAGCTAGTCTTTTAGGAATAAAAACAGTATCTTTATAGCAAATTCATAAGGGGAATTTAATAGTTAATATTTTGTTTGAGGCTTGCCTTGTTTGAGGCTTGCCCTGACATGTGATAATAAGGAAACTCAATTTCTTTGTGCTATGTTGGTGTTTGAAAGAAACTGAGGAGAGAAAAGCCATCTTCTTCATGTACTCTTCCAACTTCCAGGAGGCTCTTGTTCTTCCTCTCCCTTTTCTCTACTAGGGTTAGGAATTTGACAACTGAGGGATGGGAGTGTGAATACCTTGTTTTATTTATGCCTGTATACTAACATTTAGCAGCGATGAAGATGATAGGATGTAGGAAAATCACATGTACCAGTTTAATTTGCTTCTCATAGTTTCCTGAAAATGGTCAAGCTCTGGTAAAAGTTAGGTTTTCCTTTTTGACTGTAGATAGTATAGTTCACCTGTAAAGTGGCTGCAAAAAACCTACCCTCAAGCATGCTCTATTTTCAGACTGGCAGCTTTGTTCTCTTTTGAACTAGACAAATGTTAGTATTATAAAATTGGTACTTAAATAGGATTATAGAATTATCATATATCAATTTTGTCACTCAAGTGTAGATATCTAAAGTGTTAGAAGTCATGTCTTCAATTTAAGTTGACATTTTTTTTGGAGTTAAACACTTGATACTTGAAACAAATTCCATCTCGGAGATCAAAATGAGATTACTGAAGAATTTGCTTATTGTTCTTAGGATTTGGTAAAACCAAATCTGGATTCATACCTACTGACATGCATGGTGTTCAGCTTTGAATATTTTGCTCTCTATCATCAAAGTACTTGTAAGCCAGTTGGCTTAGTATGTGAGAGAGCTACCTGTTAAGAATTATCCTTTACTTCTCCTAGTCTTGTGTCTTGCAACATCCTTCTGAAAGCCTGGTGTTGGCATCACTTGCTACCACACTTCTGCTTAGGCTAAGTATCCATTAAATCCTAATAACTCTTCCCTCCCATAATACCCATTAAGTTCTCTGGTGAATCTAAATCCATAGTTGTTAGCTCTGACTTTCATAAGAGCAGTGAGCAGACTCCTAATGTCTTTCACTTCTTGCAGTTACCTGCTCTGTGGATAGGCTTCTCATATTGTGGAAGCTGAAGACACAGTGCAGCGCCTACAGATTTTCGGGCCATGCGGAAGAGGTGACAAGTGTAGAGTTCTCACCAGATGGGCGGGTGCTGGCTTCAGCTTCTTGGGATCACACTGTCAGGCTGTGGATTCCTTGCATGTGAGTATAACTGAGCAGTGTTGGAGATGTGTTTCATTATTGTGCAGTGTGAATATTGGACACTTTACTCAAGTTGCTTTTTCCTTCCCACATGCCTGGGCTTTGACAGAAACAGAGACTGGGGACCATAAGCAACATGGTTCTTTATTGTATTACTTTGTTCTTTTCTGAATATTCTGTAGTTTCAAAAGAAAAATATAACAACTCAGAGGTCACAATTTCATGTGTGTAGAGCTATGCTTCTTAATACTTCTCTGGCTTAAAGATTATATTTTAATAAGGATTGCATGGCTGCACTTTATTTTGGAGAATGGGCGGGTGCTGGCTTCAGCTTCTTGGGATCACACTGTCAGGCTGTGGATTCCTTGCATGTGAGTATAACTGAGCAGTGTTGGAGATGTGTTTCATTATTGTGCAGTGTGAAAATGGACACTTTACTCAAGTTTCTTTTTCCTTCCCACATGCCTGGGCTTTGACAGAAACAGAGACTGGGGACCATAAGCAACATGGTTCTTTATTGTATTACTTTGTTCTTTTCTGAATATTCTGTAGTTTCAAAAGAAAAATATAACAACTCAGAGGTCACAATTTCATGTGTGTAGAGCTATGCTTCTTAATACTTCTCTGGCTTAAAGATTATATTTTAATAAGGATTGTATGCCTGCACTTTATTTTGGGGAGACTAGTGATGAAGAAAACAATAGTTTTTGGGAAAAAAAATTAATTTACTTGCTTTATCAGATTGTTCTTGAGTAGTAGTAATTATGAGTAATTCAGTATGATCTTAGACTGATGTTACTTGAACTTTCAAGCGTTTATAGAGTACTATATACAAAATTCTCTTTCAAATACTAATGCTAATGAGACTAAAGGCCACTTCTGCTACTTAATTGCACTGTTCTGTAAAATTGGTCATCTTAAACGCGACTTAAGGAATGTTATTTTAATAATATTTAAATAAGTAAAAAGATAATGGTGACATTAAGATTTGGCCTCTGAATACTGCTTTTTCATTTGGGTAAGACTCTAAATATGCCAACATTGATTTTTATGGGTATTTAAGCTCTTTAATATAATTGTGATTTGTGACTTGACATTTGAGGTTTTGTTTCATTTTCTTTGCTCCCCCCTTAGTCACGGAGAATCATCAGTGCTGAAAGGTCATACAGCATCTGTTCGGAGTGTGAGCTTCTCCCATGATGGCTACTCTGTAGTTTCAGCATCCAATGACAAATTAGTAAAAATATGGAGTGTTAGCTATCAGCGCCTTTTGTCTACCCTATTCCGACACACTGGTTGGGTTCGCTGTGCCAAGTAAGTATTGTTTTATTGTCTTGGTAAAGTAGAATTCCTAACAAAGGGGATTTTATATCCCAGCATAGAAATAAGAGAAGAAAAGTCTCTCACCAGTAATTAAATTTTAATAAATGAATCTTATGCACAGATGTTTTGTATAGACCTAGCTGACGTATGAAAGTTTGCTCTGTGTTAATATGTGTACATACTAAATCAGTTGCTGTCTTCATTCTACTACATTAAAGGACAAATGGGGTCTTCTGTATTTATTTTCAGTCAGCATCCTGTCTTTCCTCAGTTTTGTTTGGTTTTTTGTTGTATTATTTCCCAGCACTCATGTCTAGATTTATCATGGATTGTAGGGGTTTTCTCAACTATTCTTGGAATAGTAGTGGCATTAAAGAACGGTCATGAATCCAGATGAGTTAAACTGACATAATTGGAAAAGGTAAAAGAAATGGCCTTTGGACTGCATGTTAGGAGTCATACTCTTTAAAGACAGGACAGCTCTTCAAAGACAAGAAAAGATTGTTTGCTGATTTTTAAAATTTTTTTTTGCTTTCCTCCATATTAATAGAAAATCTGCAGCTAGGAGAGTCCCGATATAATAAGCTTCTTGAGAAAGGAGTTTAACACTAGTGAGGTGCAGACCCCTACAAAGTTTCAAAGTATCTGATTGTTAAAAAGAAAAAGAAAAGCTCTAGGAAACCACATGCGAAAATTCTTGAACAGTTTTTCAATGTCATTGTGCAGTTGCTCAATAAGTGAAATAATAATGATTGAGAAAGTTACAGACAAGTCAATTTTTCTCTTTAAAAAACTGATCTGCTAGCCTAGGAATAATTGTGAATGCTTTACCCACTATTTGTAAGTTTAGAAAGAACTCAGAGAACATAAATATAGGTTAACATTGAACACAAGATTCTACCGTGTCCTCCTTTGTCTTTTTACCTGTAGTTTTTTTATAATAATCTCTGTCATCTGAAGCGACATCCTGAGGTTGCTTTCCTCCAGCCCCCTCTCCTCTTGCTTATGGCTCTGTTTTTAATTGTAGTTGACTGTGAAATGGGCTAGAGTGGAATAGGGGGAGAAGCTTTTCTTTTCAGTTCTATTAATCCATGAGAAATACTAGAAGTTCAAATGTCCTTTAAATGCTGTGCATCCTTATTTCAAACAGGCTTCCTTGGTTCTGCTGTTTTGCTGCTTATGTCTCTAATGCTAATCTAGGCAGAATCAGCTCTTAAGTAATGTATACACTTGTGTGTTCAAGATTTTCACCTGATGGAAGAATAATAGCATCCTGTGGTGAGGACAAATCTATTAACATCTGGGATACAAGAAATAAAATTTGTGTTAATACCTTCTCAGATTATGAAGGGTAAGTTTTATAGAAAAAAAGAAATGTAATAATGTAATTTTATGGCATTAATTTAATGTTCTGTGGTATTAACATCTATATATGTTAAATCTGAAAACATCAGAATTCTACAACCTATGTCAACTAAAATGATTCATATAATGTTTTTCTAAAGAGGTTAAGTGGCTGCATTTATACAGCTGTTTTCCAGCAATCAAAAGATAATCCAAACAGACGTGAGATTATTCTTGGATTTTGGAATGTTTCCATGTTTTCCCTCAATTTTGATAATTCTATTTGATATTGGATGCTTCAACAAGAAGAAAGCTTGAAGAGTTTTCCACCTGTTGATGAAAAGAGTATTTTGTTACTTTCAGTGATCTGACTTTTTTAAGTTTAAAAAATACTTGCTTTTACGTATATGCAGTTTTCTTAAACATCTTGGATCCAGAGCATTAGTTAAGAAGTCAGTGGAATATTTATCTTGTAGATGTGCTTTGCTGATTTCGTGGCTGCCTTCATCCTTTTCGAGTCCAAAGTATTGTCAGTTCTTAGACAAAATTATTTTATTGGTTGCTTACAAACTCTTTGCAGTACTATCTTCCAGGAACTTTGTACTCTAGCACAAACTCTGAAGGTTTGACTTGGATCAATTATACTGTATTTTCAACAAAAGTGAGATTATGATTTCTAACGTACATCTTGTTTTCTTATGCTTATTTCAGTTACTTGAAATGCCTTAATTGTGTTGCCATACATGTAGATTTCACACCAGTTTGTGGCAGCTCAGTGTTAATATTGTGGGCTTTCTATATGTACAAACACCTAAATATTTCTGTGGAAACACATTCTAAATCTGTTTTCATTAACTATATTTAGATTTCCAGCTTATGTGGATTTCAACCCAAGTGGAATATGTATAGCTTCTGCAGGTTCCAATAACACAGTGAAACTATGGGATATTAGAACAAACAAGCTACTGCAGCATTTCAAAGGTAAAAACAATGTAGTGTGTTTTATTTTCTTTACAGTGGGACTCTTTGCAATGAAATGTGATTTATTAAGAGTATTACTGGGGAAAGTTGACAAGTCATATTGACATGTTGTAAGTATCTTTTTGTAGTCTAGCAATCTCAAGAATCCAGTCTGAATTGTTTTTATTTCTTTGCTTCTCTTAATTTTTAGAACTAAGCAAATACTCTGACGAGTCTTCTATGCCTCAGCACTTTTGTTGTTTTCCCTTAAATGAAGTAGTACTTTGGGAAGTAGAAAAGAGCAAAGAAATAAAGTGTACATAGCCTCTTAGTAGACATCTACAGCTTTTGAATATTGTCTTCTGTAAATCAGTTCACAGAGCAGGGGTTAATTGTATATCATTCCATCCTTCTGGTAACTACCTCATCACTGCTTCTTCTGACGGTACCCTTAAGATTCTGGACCTCTTAGGAGAAAGACTTATTTACACTCTTCATGGACACAAGGTATACACAATAATCCTCTTTAAATGGAGATCTTAATAGGTTGTTCAGTATCTTTACAAAGGGAAAGTAACATTTATGCCATTGTGTCTTTTATCTTGCAACTTGCAGATGAAATTTAGTGGACACCAAGGTGTTGTGTTAATGCACTTTGTCACAAGTGCTTAAGGAAATGCATCAGTTTTTACCTGTAACCATGCTTTTTATCTGTCAACATTACACACTTGATGTTAAGTAAAAGCTGTGTTCTGAATTCATTAATAATTCACTTGACTTTCAAAATCATGTTATTTGGCACTTCAGTATTGAAAAACTATTGTCCATTGAAAAGCAGTGTTTTCTAAGGAGGGGGAGGCTTACAGAGGATAACTTTTGTGAAGGATGGCAGCATTTCCTCATTTCCCTCTTAATGCCAAACAAACCCTATTTTTGATAATAAATCTTCAAACATATTGCCTTGAGTAATGTAATATATATTTTGCAATTTTTCATTTCAAAGCTGGAGTATAAAATCTAAGGATAATGCCACTATTTTCCTAGCATAGATTGTTGTAGTTGTAATGTAGCATCTTACTAAAATGTGCAATATTAACTTTTCGATCGAGTTTTGCAGAAATTTCACTACAGTAAAATTGTTCCTTATTTTATTAAAATTGAAAAATCTATTACATTAGGTAATGGCATCGGTGTTTTTCTCTGTACTAAAATATCATAATTACAGTAATAGCCTAATTTTACTGTGTGCTGTTTGTTTTCCAGGGACCTGTACTTTGTGTGGCTTTTTCAAAAGGTGGTGAAAAGTTTGCCTCAGGTGGAGTGGATGCTCAGGTTTGTGGTATTGTTTCCTTAAATGAAATGTCTTTGTTACAGTGGATGGGAGTTAAATATAGTATGTCACAATAACTTGTTAATTACTCACACGCATTCTGTCTACTTGTGTGTTATGTAGACTTTCCATTGGATGTTGTGATGAGGAGAAGACTAACCACATCTATTTCACATATTAAAATAAATGAATGGTTTTTTTAATGGTTTTTAACTAAGAATATTTAAAGTGTTGCAATTCAGTGCCAATGAAGTAGTTATGTTGCAATTAATATTAAGTGGCACCTGCTTTGTTAGGTTTTCACTGCCTTTAAAGTCCTTATTCTGTAATTGTAGGTATTAAGTTGTATTACTGGGAAAACTTTGGTTAAAATTGGGAAAAAGAACCCCTGGTGTTACCTTTACTAATTTGCTTTGTTGAAACAGTAAAGTACTAGATTTTATAAAGGGAAGAAGATTCATTTGAGCATTTAAAAAATATTAAACAGTAACTCTTATAATTAATCTCTATCTGCTGTAATAAATTTCATAATTAAGAACCAATACTATCAAGCTTGGAATCATCTCTATCAGGTCTATAAAGTTTCCAAAAAGAAAGAAATTTTGTAGCACAAGATTTAAATTTTCAGTCTGAAATGTTCCTTAGTTGTCTTTTTCATTTTTTCCTTTTACAAAAAGCTGAAAGCTCAATGTAGGTATAAAAAGCTATGCTGTTTAAATTAAGATCTTTTGAGTTTACCATAATTCATGGCTATATTCTGTTTTGTGGACTTTGAAATAAATTCCAGCTAGTAGCAGAGATGGTCTTGGGAAATAAAAAAAAAATTGCTTTCTTTCACAAAGTACGAAGTACTGCCAAGGCTTGAAGTTATTGGAAAAGTGAAAATGTTATCAAACATGTAATAGTAATTTTACAAGCAGAAAAAACCCACAAAAGCCAACTGAGGATGGGGGAAAGATTTATTTCTTGACCCACTAGTATGAACTTTGATTTTCCATACTGAAGTTTTAAATAAGATTTTAAGTTCCAAAATGCAACTTAGTCCTACATGATTCTGAATTGTTGACCTTACCTTTTGGTCTTTATTTTGAGTTTTATGACTGTTGGTATATTATACTTAACTTGAGAGGAGCAAAAGTGCATGTATTCACGTGACAGAAGATTAATCTGAGAAGCTCTGCTGAAGGCAAGGACTTAGAGTATTAAGCCTTTTACAGCCTCCCCATTGAATGCCAACACATCCTGGGAATGCCTGTCTTACTTCAAAGTTCTTTGACTTCAGAGCCCTCTGAATGACATGTGTGCTCAGCACAGTCATGTCATTGCTTTTTTCCTGCCCTGATTTTCTGTTGTAAAGCTTCTGGGGCATGAGAGTGTGGAGAAAGTAGCTAAAAATTTATGTCTTATGTTCCTCAGCAGTTTGATATAGGGGGTTCATGCAGAAATATATGAGAGGGAAGATCCAGTTTCATCAGGAAACACTTCCTTAGTTAAATGTTGAATTTAAAAAGTAGTCATAGCAGATCTAATAACTGTTCAAATGACCTTAAAAATGGGCCTTCCTGTGTTTGTTGAAGTTTTTCCCTTTGTTTTATGAGAGTTTTGCTGGGAGAGGAGTATTTATTTTGTTGCAACTTTCACTTTTCTAAGTTTTAAAATGTTGGGTAACTACCAAGGTGTATATCTTTATCTATAACTTTATTCTTCAATGTCCATTTTCTTTTGGTGTATACACACGTACTTCTCAAACATCCCGTTTTGCTGATCTGTCCACAGCCTTCTTCCAGGTGTGCCAGGAGGATGCTTGTGGGACTTCTTCTCAACTCGCTGTGATTATTGTTTACTGTAATTGTAGGGTGTATTTGTTGGAAAAATTCTGCTGGCAATGTCATGCTTATGAGGAGAGGCTGGCCATAAGAGTATCATCTTCTACCCCTCATGCAGTACCCAAAATATATTGTCTGTTCCACAGCATGCACTGGAGGCAGCTGATGCACTCTAAGTTTATGGAAGATTGCTTCCTTCGTACATATATTATTTCAAGACATTTTCAGTCAGCAGATCATTCCGTACCTTTCATAAAAGAAGGAAAACCAGTATCTCTGCTTCTTGTTTCAAGTTTCTGGTTGGTGTAGAACCAGCTGACAATGTTGTTCAGAAGCAGGTTAAATATTTGAGACAAACACTGGATACTTTTGTTTCTTTCTATTTGCTTCATTCCTCAAACAAAAAAGATCTCAAAGTGTAGCATTTTGTCATGTTCCTCACGTTTTTGGCTGTATGTGCACATTGCAATTTATTTCATTAACCTGTTGCCATGGAAAACATAAAGCCTTTTATGTGAAAGAGCAAAGTTATACCTATTTGTTTGGAAAGTAGTAGCCTATGTGGAATATTCATAAGACTGTACCTCTGTACAGATACCTCTGTATCTATGACCTTCTGCATTTGGTCATTGTGTGGCTTGTATATGGTTTCTACCTAGAACATAGTTAGACAAAGTTCAGAAAAGAGATTCCTGTTGCTAAAACACTGGAACCAGGTGTTTTAGAGTTCCGTGGAACTCTCTCATTTCTTATTCCTTCAAACTTTCTTATTAGACCTGCAAGCCTTTATAGGGGGCAGAAATTTAACAGTATATGATCCCTTAATCTGGCAAAAAAGTAATTTGGGACAGTTCAGTGGCACAGGAGTTTATTTTGTTTTGTGATTATAGATGTGTTTTAGAGGTTATTTTTTTAATAGATTGAACCACATCTTTTAAATTTGAAGTAAAGATACTCTAGGGAAGTGCCTGTGATGCAGTAGAGATTGGACAAAGACATCACTGCAGTATTGTTATGATGCAGTTATCTACTAGTAATAGCAGACTTTACTGAATAGTTAGGTTTTGAGCACTGAATAGCCTTCAAGTAGTTACTGATATGAAGATTTCTTGTAGGTATTACTATGGAAAACCAACTTTGATACTTTGGATTACGAAGAAGTTCTCGAACACAATTTTAGAAGGACACATCTTGATGATCCTCCTCATCTTCTTGATGTTTACCCAAGGTCACCTCACTTACATGATGAACAGTGTGAATCAGTTGAGGTGAGTGCAATAAATTGTCTAATATAGGAAACAAGAAGCTTCTGTGAACACTGTCTGACATTTATAGTTAAATATGTTTTATGTGTACCAGGGAGCTTGTTATTGTTATGTATAATACTTTTGAAGCAACCATAATTTATAAATCCTCCTTAGGGTTACTAGGCAAGCCGATGCTGGCAGGTTTATGCTGAAATTACTTTCATGCTTCTTCTGTGTCTATACATCTCATTCAAGCAAAACATAGTGATAATCTGGTTTCTGAAATAGCACTGCAAGTGTTGCAGTAGGTATCTGAATTTCCAATGAGCTTTACAATACTCATCAAAATATATAAGGACAACAAAATGGTGATATTACTGAAAGTCCGATACTTGCTTATCACAAGCTGTCCTTTTTTCCAAGACCTTTAGGTATTGTGAGTAGGTCTTGATACCTATCTAAAAGACTTTCTAGGCTAGCAGTGTGTTTTACAGCACTATGTAGTCTGATTTCCTGATACTTCATTCTTGAGCTACTTTCCTGTCAAACTATCTACTGGCATCTATTGAAAGTGTTGGAAATCAGGGAATCAAAGTGCAATGTCAAATGTTCTGTGTCAGTGTTAGGAAAAATCTTGTGTTTATCATATAGTCTGAAAGTTATGCTCAATAGGTAAACAGTACTGTGCCTTCAATGAGGCTGTATTTTATTTTTTTTTAATCTGTATTTTTGACAGTCCCTGATAGAGCTGGCTGGCTTCTGCACGGCAATTACCTGTATTTTCTTCTCTTTTTTGATAGTCTCCAGGTGCCTCTAGTGTTGAAGAATTTACCTGGGATAAATCTAGAACAGCAATCAGAACTTTCTGATTGCTGTAATATGCTACCAGAGTACTATAGAAATTCACCATTGCCTGTTTGCCTCTGTAGAAAACATAGATACTGCTGCCATGGCATTTGTTTCCTGCTCAGAGTTTTAAAACATTGACATTTGGGGATATTGAGCTTTTTTTTTTTTTTGGGTGGGTGGGTGTGTTTGCAATATGAATACATGCAAATGAGTGGTGCAGAGATTGAGAACATTTGCTGGAGGAAGAGAACTGTGGCAAAATAAGATTTCTTCTGTGCCTGCTTCTATTGCCAAGTCGGATGTGAAGCTTTCTAATGCTTAGCATTTTGGTCAGAACAGGATGACTGCATCCTGTTCTGACCAAAAGCTTCATAAATGAACAAGCTGCACAAACAAACTTCTGTGCTGGGCTTTCCTATTTGTTGTACAGTAAATGAATGAAGTTCAGTTTACTGGTACCAGCCTTCAGTATAGTTGGTCAGTGCCAGAACAAACTCAATCACAGCATTTGCCAGCAGATCCAAGCCAGTCTTGCTGGAGCAACATTTTGCTTCAAGACCATTCAAATTGCACCCAGTTATAACATGTACTAAACAAACACAGTGGCTTATAGCTGTAGAGGTCCATTGTCTTCTTTTCAGGTCAACATTTCCAGACCTCTGGTGTTTACATGCCTGCTAGAGATGTGAATATACTCTAAACCAAGTTTTCAATTTTTTTTTTTTCCTTGTTCCTGGTCCTGGGTAATTGAGAAGCTCTGGAAAAGCATTGATGAGCTCAGGCTAAAGTTAAACTAAGGCTAGGAAGCCTCATTATCAATACCAAAAAGTCTCATCAAGGAAAGTCAGTAGCTGAATGTCAAGAAAGTCTTTACTAGTTAGCTTTGACAGATTTAACTTATCTTTATGTCTGCATTTATTAATGGTTGCAGCATTTGTAGCAGCTGATAGGCTCCTGGGCTGCTCCATAGTAGTGAAAGAGCTCTATGGCTTTTTTATAGCAAAGTTTTGGACTCTTTGTGTTGTATTTCTGGCTTGATTTCAGGATTTTAACAAGAGTTGCTGTATTTAGTTTTCTATTAACATCATATTGTCACTAGAATATCTTTCTCTCAAGTAAACATATAGTATATTATATTCTTTGAGACAAAACAGTGTCTGACAGTTTCAACAAAACATTATTGTAATATATATATATATATCCATATTGTAAATTAAATAATATAGTAATAGTGATTAGAATCACTTTTGCAGCTAATTTTTAAAATTAATGTAATGGCATAATAATTGAGATGGTGTTAAGGTGAAATCACATTTTGTCACTCCATTTGTCTTTTCTTGTTTTTATGGCTCCTCCTGTCTGTCTCAACAAAAATTGTGCGATTTTTGTTGTGATGAGGAAAAATAGACCTCACCAACTGCAACAAAACCATAATTTATACAGACAGAACTGGTATCAGGTTACTACCAGCAGTAACACGCTTCAGTTAGCATACACTAATTCTTAGGTAGCACTGTGCTTGAAATTTTTCAGTGCTCCATCTTCTTAACTATTTCCTCTTATAACTGAGAAAAACCATAATGTCTAGGCTTGCTGTGCTGTACTCTGGAGAAGGAAAAAAAGAAAAAAAAGTGGTTTTGTCCTTTTTCAGTTAAAACTTTTTTTTTTTTCACATGCCAACCTCTTTCTAAGCCAGAGGAAATACAGAGAATTCTAGCATTAGGCTGTTCCACTGCAATCCTACCCTCATCTTTCAATGGCTCGTCATGTTTCCAGTATATAAGAGAAAAGAGAAATGGAATCACAGGCATGTCAGAGGGAGCTTCTAGAGATCATATATTCTTCCTATCAGTGGTACATCAGTTCAACTGTGTCTGTTAGGGGGTCTTGAAGAGGTTTGGAGATTCCCCTATCTCTCTGTGTGATCTATTCCACTACAGCATGGCAGTTGTAATGATATGTTTTCCTATTATCTCATACTACACCTCAGATAATATACAGAACTGCTTCCTTTCTTATTTTACTCCTTTCTCATCATATTTCTATGTGACCATGGTAAGATAATTCATCTTAACTAAACAGAAGTAACAGTATTCTATGAGACTTGGGGACATATAGAAGAGATACAGGCAGGCAGAGGAGGCAGTTTGGAGATGGGATTTTTCGAAGTATCAGTGACTGTTAAGGTTTGCTACAAGCCAATACAATGTCATCTAAGTGCTTGAGATATGTTGTAATACATTGCCTTGAGTTATGCTCAGCTGGTTTAGTCACCTCTACAACAGGACTGAAGAGGGATTGCCTTAGGATAAAATTAAAGGTGTTACAACACAAAAAGTTCAACAGATGTACAGGCAAAACTCAAGAGGAAAGTAATTTGCCCCCTATTTTTAAGAATTCCTAATGTTTCACACCTTTCCTTTTTTACAGCTCTTGGTTACCTATTGCTTCTCTATCCCTGCTTGTCTCAGTGTGGCAAAGTCCCTGTAGTTCCAGAACTATATTCTGGGCGAATAGTATACACAAAAATGGAGCTGGCTTAGAATTTATTCAGCTGGGATCAGAGGCACAGTTGCAATGTTTCCACACATCACCTGTTAGAAATGCTGTTTTGAATAAAGCAGCTGGCACAAAGGCATTAAGAATTGCGCTATTCTGCCTTCAGGATATTGACAGAAAGATGACGCTTGAGTGAATTTGTCTTTTCTGATTACTTTTTCTTATTCACTCTTCAAAGTTATACATTGATCCAGTAAAATTTCAGAAACCTTCCCTATTTTGTTTTCTCTCTACCTACCTATTTTTGAGGCATAATTAACTTTTACAAGAAAATCATTGGTTGTATCTTCTCAGCCCAGCAGTAGCCTGAATTTTAATGCATTGTTGAATTTCATGTTCTTGAATTGCAAAACTTTATAATTGTTCTCCAACTGCACTCATTGATGTGATTCTTGAATATTCAAGTAAGTAGAGCTTTCATGCTTAAAATAATTTAAATTTTTCAGACAACTTGGAAATGTAAATAAATTATTTGTTCTCTAAAGGTGCCTATTTTTTTCTGTTGGTCACAGAGATAATCTTAGGTGATTACCAGCTGAAACACAGGTGTCTAGCAGTATGTCTAAATTTAGCTGAGATAAATCCCAGTAGTTGTCTCTGTTTGACATAAGGACCTTGTGAAGTTGTTTGAAAATAGTACTTTAATCAGTTATGTAATTTTAGTGAAATATACTAAAAACTGCATTCCACTTGGTGAGAATTGTATTTCTGAATTTGCCATGTTTGTAGTAATTGACCTTTCATGTTCTAAAGACTTCTTTAAAATAAATAAATTTTTTTAAAACAGCTTTGATGTTTGAACATACTAAGGTGCATAGAGTTTATCTCTTGTGCACAAAGAGCTTTTATTGATTTAATTTTCAGTGTATTTTCAGTAATAAATATTTTCTCAGATGAAAGAAATTCAAGTATACACTAGGTGGCAGTAGAAAAAAGATTATATGGCTTGCTTGGTTTGAGGGCCCCAGTCTAGAACAAATAACAGTGTTTAGTTAAAACATTTGTCAAATTGAAAGCTAATTTTCTCTTGTTGTGTTTGGAGATACTATTTCACAAGTAGCTAAATCACTTTCCTAAGAAATACTTTGTGAGTCATTTAAAACTCCCTGTTTTATTTTTATTAACTTTATTTTTCTAATTCACAAAAGATTCTGTAGAAACCTTCCCTTCAAATATATTTTATTGTACTATGGATTAAAATGTGATAATTGTAAATTGTATTATCATATTAGAAGATGATATTGAAAATAATTAGGTATCAGTTTACCAGGTAATTAAAGCAAGGCTTTGAAAGAGTGTTTTTGAAAACCTGTAATATGTGACAGTGCTCCCTATCTTGCATTTTAATGTTCTGTTTTTTCTGTCTTGTTTCTTAAAGTTAAATCTTTTCAAAGTCTTCCTTTGAAGATTTCCCTTGGTAAGATTATTTTACAGCAAACCACATCACCTTGTCAGGAAATGTCAAGTAATTTGAAACTTTTACATTTAGCTTTATTCCATTACCTCATTCATTTTTAGTGCAATATTAAACACTAATATTTGTATGAAGGACTACAGCCTTTATATTTTTGTGCATTTTTAAACACCTTTTGGATGCTATTTCTGACTAGTTGCTTAATAATTTTATATTTAATTATTTTAGTATGGCTTAGGACAGTTCCTCCACTCTCAATCAGTGTTTACAGTGGCTTCATCCTCCCCTTATCACTGATAAAGCAATAAGAAGTATACTCAGAAGAACTTTCCTTCTAGCTCCAGGATGTGACACTTCTACAAAAAGAACATTTTTCTAAACTTAATACCATGTATTTACTTACCAACCTGTATTTATTTACCAACCTGTATCAAGAATTTAACTCATTCTGCAATATCTCCATGTATGCAACAAAAAGATACTATCTCAAAGAAGATGTTTCAGGAACTATCAGTGATAATACTACAGTAGTTCCTCCACATTAGAGTACTGATAGGTCGTAGGCATCTACTGGCATCTACTGTCCCTCTGCTGCAGAATCCTGCAGATGCACTGTCCTCTCTTCAGTGCCCAAATGATGCATGTCAGAAACTGACTTTAGTCTTACCTGCCCATAGTATGATTGGCACTTGGATAAAGCATTAATTATATTTATTGTAGGGCTGACAATGTCAGAAGCAGCTGACCCTGATTATCCTAGGCACTGAACAAATCTGTGGACAGTTGCCTGTGTAATCTCAATGGACATATGTATAGAGTCAAAACAGTAAAATTTGCACTTCCTTTCCTGCTCACCTTAATAGTGAAAAAGTGTTAAGCAATACTGTATTCAGAGGAGGTTTTGATTAACCATGTTTCTGCAGAGAAGATGCTAAAGGAGAAGTCCAGTTAAAATGGTTGAATTTTCAGCTAAATAGAAGGTTATTACATAGACCATGTTACCTGGCTTTGGTTCTCCTCACTCCCTTTCTTTCCTCCAAGTCTATTTGACAAAATTTAAAGAAAACAAGACTTGATCCTAATGTCTACAAATGAGGGAGAATTATAAGTGTTCAGTTGTGATGACTGTGTCACAGCTAAATGGGTTTTCCTGATTGTCCCTGAGTCCCTGCTCAATCTTGCGTATGCACCTGTAATTAGAAAACAGAAAAAAAGATCATAGATGAAGAATGGCTATTAATTCCAGATATAAGATTGTATTCTAGCTACTTTACAAACATGTCTCTGACCTAAAGGTCTTTATAGTGATGTATGGACATCAGGGATTGTTCCTTGTGAAAGTAGCACTGAAGCAGTTACTGAGTGAGCAGCTCTGGCTGAACCAGAGTTTTGACAGTCTTCAGGTGAAATAGTAGGATCCTAAGAAGTCAAAATCGCCCTTGTAACTAAGAAACTTTCAGTGACTAGACTTAACCCTGTCACTAGGCAAGTGTGAGCTTTGAGGGTTCTGGGATTTTTTTTTTCTGCTTTCAATAAAGCAGAATTAATACTGTCTCTGGATTGCTGATGATATTGCATCAGACTTCTTGGTGATTTGAAAGCCATCTAGTCTTTCTGTAAATTTTGCCAGTTCATAAAATATTAAGAATAGTACTTCCATGCATCATTCTGAGAAGGCAAACATCTTAGGCTGTGATACACCTAGATAATATAATGCTAGGGATAATATGCACACAGATTTTTATGGGGAGGTTATTCTCATCCTTAGGTGAAACCATAAGATAAAAGCAGCAGCTTTCTCAAATTTCATATTCTTGGATACTTTTTTAATGCTTCACATTCAGGAAAGGACATTAGCAAAATATTGCTAAAGTTATAGATTAATTCCTATAGCCAAAAATAAAATCAAGTAGTAACTGTGATATTTAGCGAAAAATTGCAGATACTGTGATGACATTCTGTCATCTATCATTCTAGCCAATAATCAGCCTCTGACATTGTCCCAGTATAAAGCAGTTTTTTCTGTGGTTTCAGGAGCAACATCTTTTGTCTTTGATCTGCTACCTTATTAGAGACTTCAGTGTTACCTACTACATGTTTTCCACAGAAGAACTTTCAAAGTTATTTTGGCAGTCAGAGTTGGTACAGAATAAGTAAACATATCGACAGTCTGTTGGTAATGGATAACTTAAGGAACTTGAATAGGGATTGGGAACCAATTGATCTGGGCGGCTTCGTGTGTTCTTACTTTTTATTTCAGCCTTATTTCCTTTTTTCTGTTGGTGATGAAATAATGATATAATTTATTTTCAACAGGTCGACCCTACGTTTGATGTGCCTGATATAGAAACACCTGACCCAGTTATCATCGATATTAGAACATCTTCACATATCAGTACTCCTGTAAGTTACTTTAAAAAAAAAGAGAAATAAAAAAGGGTAAGGTATTAGCTAACATGTTCTGGAAATGTGCTTTTACTGTCGATATGAATGAAATAGATTTTCTAGCAATTGTTGAGTTGTCGAGTGCTCAGAGCTCAATATCCTAAATTCTCAATTTAAACTTTCTGTCACAGTTCCCAATCTAACCAGAAGATGGTGTAATAGCAAAGCTTTAATTTTATACCTGCAATTTTACCACTATACTAAGCACAAATTCTATTTATAAGCCCATGCTAAGTACATCTAAATATTACTGTTAAAATTCCTGGCTTATTCTCAAACACTTTTTGTAACTCTGTCTTTATCTGCAAGTAATGGTAACACTAAAGAATCATTGTTTCACTGATACAATTTAAAAAGTGATGTTTTATTATTTCTCCTTTTAAGGCATTTAGTAAGTTCCCTAGATGGAAAAAAAAAAAAAAGAAAAGTGATATATTTGAAGACAGAGTGATAGGATTAGAGTCTTCTAGTGTTGGCTTTACATATGACATTGGTATGGCATGTGGGAGGAGAGGAAGGCAATGTTTTAGTGGCAGTTTCGTGGGAGGAGAAATATGCTCTCCTGGTATGAAATCTAAAAGACATGCTGTTCTAGAATTAGGTTAAAATGAGAATTTTTCTTTTAGCTCTGAATCTGTTCCTGTGAATGCACAAATTGTGTCTTGAGCAATTTTAGTTACCATAAAAAGTTTGTGTGGTTGAAGGGTTAATACTTACAAATAGGCAGCAGGTTTCTGCTGTTCTATTTTATCATGAATGCTTTATGAAAGCTGTGTTATGAAGGTACTATGTAAAATTCTTTAAGATCATTTTTGAAGATCATGATGCACAGGTTGATGAGAAACCTTTAGTTGAAAACAAATAATCATATAATAACTTACATTTGAAAGGTGATAATATTATATATTTTAAGGTTTGTCCATTGTCATGTTTTCATAATGGAAATGTGGTTCTTTGTAGACTTATAGGTATCTGTTTAGTAAGCTTCACAGACAGTGGATTGTGGTAGATAAAATTTATTGACTACCTATCACTTTTAAGTACTCTGTGTTCATTACTTACTCTGCTCATCACAGAGTTCAAATGTATGATTGCACTGTAGTTCTTTATTACATACCTGCAAACCACTTAGTCTCCATTAACTCGTTTGCTATCAAAGCACCTTATAAAACTTCATGCCCAGAACTCAGAGGAGTACGACACAAGAAGTACAGCGGTTTTTTGACTGCTGTCTGTCTGGCTTTACAATCTTCAATATAAAAATGTTGCTTCAGAATTTATGCTTTTTGACTGTGTCAGTAATCATTATTTTTTTCCCCCCTCATCATCTCAGTCTATCAGTTATTGGTTCTCACCACTGTTGCATTTCAGCATTCCCCATCTGCCTCTTTTTCCATCTAGAAACATTTCTATAACCTTGTTACTTGGATTGTAGCATTAAGGGCAACTGTCCTGTTCAACATAGGTTAACCCTAACCCTGTTCACACAAATTCAGGAATCATTTGCATGTTTTCTTTGCCACTAATATCTGTCCTCTCCCATAGTGAGTAACATTCTCCAATTTTGCCAACCAATCTGGTCCTCCCTACTTTCTCATGTCAGCTCATCCTTTAGTATCATCTTCCTGTCCAGTGTCTGTCTACCACATTACCAGCTTCTGTAATTTGTGGAATTATCACCTGTTTCTTAATCAGGCCAGCCACCTAGACTCTTTGTGTCTTGTTTCTAGAGGGTTCTGGATCTCAGTGACTTGGACCTTTTTATCTGAAACCTTCTTAGTTTCCCTAATGTATGCATACTCTGTCTACTAGAGGCTTGATGTGTTCTTCGTAAGAAGCAAAGAGGAAAGGGCAGATGCTGCCTTTATTTCTGTCACACCTTCCCTGACAGATTTCCTCTTGATCCAGTTTGTCCTCAATTGAATGATACTACTTTTGTGCATTATTTGTATTTTTTTTCTTAGTCCTTTTTCAAATTGAGGTTGCCATTCTACCTCATACATATCCCTGATTCCAGCCCCAATGGGTTGTTCTTTTTCTACTGGTTGTCAAAGACAATATCACTGTATTTTTTTAACCCCTGCAAACATTCCAAGACCCATTTTAAACCTGTTTTTAGCTTTTTGGCACCACTTCTACTGAAAGAACACTGTTCAAATAACAAAAAATTTTGATCACATTGTCGGGTTAATTTACGTGTATTGTATCCATACCTACTTACTCTTTTAAGGCTCTGCATTAAGGAGTTCTTTTGCCCTTCTGACATGTGCAGAGAGAAAAATGCAGTCTGCATTTAGGTATCTTTATGTATTCTTGTTCAATGTGTTTATCACACATGAAACACAGCAGGATCTTAAGGGTTATTTACAAACCATAGTGGCAAGTCCCTAGACCACTGGAAGTAGTTAATCAACATATTTACTTCAGTTTTTCTGCTGAAGGAGAGAGATAATTGAGAAAGGCTGTATTTAAAGACTTGCATTTTTGTGGATCACTTTCTCTGGGGTAAGAGCCCTGAAACTTCTGTTGGATCTCTGATGAGTTTCTGGGGTTTTTTTGGGGGGGTTTGGTTGTTTTTCTTTTTAAATTTAGTTGTATTTTCTTGCTTCAGAGGTTAAGCTAAGACAGGCAGATATGAATGTTCTTACAGGAATTTTGCTAAAAACACATTATTAAACGGCCTGAATTGTAAACACTTTATCTTTTCAGCTTCTTTTCTAGCTTAGTACTAAGGCCAGTTGTTTTGAACATGGTGAATGAAAAATCTTTTTTCATCTAAGGTTCCTACTGATGCAACTATTTTGTAAACTCAGTGAAGGGAGTATGATCCTTGTGTCTGTAAAAATTTCAGTGAAATTTTCAGTATGGAGTTGCTTTCTTTTGAACTACAATTATGAAGCCATTAAGAATTCTTGTGTATTATTATGGTTAGGAAATAGCTTTGGATTTGATGATTCATTTATTCAGTTCTCCTGTGTATTATTGAAAGCACTGTAAAAATTAGCTGTGAATGCCTAACAAACTGGTACTTGTGTAATGTCCTGACTTTTTCAATGATAAGAGTTCTCATATGTTGCAGTTACTAGAAAGTAGGTGTGTTCTAGCCTTTTGTACTCTGAAAATATTCACTAAATTGGGGTCAAATCTGGGGGTGGAGGTGGTGCTTCTTTCTCCTTTCTATTTCATTAAAGACTCGGAAAGCATTAATGCCTCTCTCCCACTCCTCCATGTGTCAAGCAACTTAACATTGCCTTTGTTTTCTGAATTATTGAAAAGGAAAAATTGGAAGTTTTGTTTCTCTTTGGGACTACTTCTTTCTTTTTCATCCTTCAATTTTAGTTTTAGTCATGAGAGAGGTTGGGCCTTTTCAATTCTGCAGTGCAATACACTGGTAACCTCCGGTCCCTGATAAGCTGTTAGAAACAAGGGAAAGTTGATGGTGTCTCTGTACTTTTTACTGACAGAAGCAGGAAATCACTGTAGAGGCTCTCTAATATTTCATCCCCTGACCTTGCTCATGTAAACAGGATTTGGAGGAAGCAAAGCAATGTACTGTAATCTGGAAGTCAGAATGTCTGCTGTAGCTGGGAGATGTTTGCTGTTTTTTTTCTTCCAGTGCCATTTAACATTAAAAACAAGACATTCTTATTGTTCATTTACAGTACAACTCCTGCAAAGTTAAGACTGGGTTAATTACTGAGTAAGGAAAGTTAAGGATTGTTTCTGTTTGGAGCAAAAAGAACATACTAAGTTTTAAAATAGAAAGTTTATGTGTACTGCATTTATGGAGCTGTCTTGAGGCAAAAAGTAGAAGTATCTGTGCTCTCAATTTGTTCAGTACACATCGCTTTCACAGTTTGTGTTTCAAGATTTAGGTATTTTTGATGCGCTTTTCTCTGCCTTTGTTTTGAATTTAAAAAAAGCACCAAAAAACCAACAAAGCTCCACAATTAAAAAACACCCCATGTATTTGGAAAGACAGCAATAATGAATGAAACATTTGCATGTATTCCTCCATTTCTGCATACATGAAGGCTTAGTCAACTCTTCTTCCTCATGGAAATTTGCTTTGAAAAGCTCTTGCAGTAATGTCTCTTCCTTGTTCCTTAACATAACTCCCGAATCCAGTAGGAGAGGATGACAATAGAAATTGTATCTTAAAAACTAATTTTTAAGACACTTCATATTTTCCTTACCATGCAACTTCAAATTTATTCTGATTTGTGTCTTTTGCTAGCTTCAGCCTTACAAGGAAATAAACACCAACTGTCTTCAGTGAGGTTAAGGGGAGGGTAAAAAGAGGAAAGGAAGTAACGGCAATTTTATACATAGATCATCTCCTCTGGGGCCTAAGTCCAATTCAGAAGGGAGCAGCTGGTAGAACAAAACTCATATGTCGCTTCATTGTGCAGAGTAGTTACCTTTGCTGTTTTTTATGGATCATTTGAAAGCACAACAAACAGCTTTCTGTAGTTCATGGATATCAGCTTTCCCAAATGTTCTCAGACAAAAACTCTGATTATTACATGGTATGCATACATTTTTCTCTACCAAAGAAAAGTTTCAGCAGTATTCCCTTTGAAAGAAAGATTGGAATCTCTGCCCCACTTGTGTTTCTTGTCCAAAACTCAGTTGCCAGTTAGACTGAGCTCTGCACTGGGGAGTGATCCCATGGGTAAAAGGGCTTTGATAAGAATTGACAGTTCCCAGCCTCTTCCATCACCTTACCTTCTTTGTTCCCAGACAGGGAAATAAGAAAGGCCACTCCCTGAATAGCTATGAACTTTTTTCCTTTACTGCCATTCTTCTGATTACCAGTAAATGCTTATTTGAATTGTCAACTCCCTGAACTCCCAATGACAAACAGAATTAAATTAAGAAATAGTGTGAAGAGATCCTGTGTCTCCAAAGTTTTGAGGAAAAGTCATCTGCGCCTTTTTCATAGATGAGCATATCAA